TGACGGAGGACCTGGAAGGACAGTCTTGCCTGCAGCCCAGGGCCCTTGCCCGGCCTTGGTGACCTCAGCCCTTCCCCCTGGCCTCACCCCCAGCCAGACCTGGCGTCCCAGCTGAGCCTCAGGCCGACCTCCTGCACGCTCAACTTTTGGACTCAGGGAGGCTGTTCTGACTGTTCTTTTCCCTGCAATGTCCTTGGAGCCCCTATTTTAGTGACTTTGTCTCCTGGAGAAGAGCTCATCCCTTTGGTGTGAGATTATTTCAAGGTTGAATTCTTGCAATGAAATTTTATCTTTAGACCTTGATTCACAGATCAATTCAGGATGCTGACAACAGAGATGACAGACACGCGAGGCTGACGCTGCTTCTCTGAGCAGCCCCACTGCTGCAGGAAGCCACCTGCCAGGGGGTTGGGATGGGGGTGGTCACCCTGTCAGTGAGTCACTCCTTAGATTTATATCGGGCCCTCCCTCCCAAGGACTAGAAATCCATGATTCACTGGTCACATGGATACTTAGGACCCCTGGGGCTGCCATCACAAATGGCCACAAACTTGGTGGCTTCATACAACACAAGTATATCTTCCACAGCTCTGGGGCAGAAGTCCAAACTCCAGGTGTGGACAGGCTGGTTCCTTCTGGTGGCTCTGAGGAAGAAGGGGTCCCCAGCTCCTGTCCTAGGTCCTGGTGACCCCAGGAATCCTTGGTGGTCCTGGGCCATGATCACTCTGATCTCTGCCTCCACCATCTCATGACCTTCTCTGTGTGTCCTTGTCTGTCTCCTATAAGGACACTCACTGGATTTAGGGGCCACCCAAACCCAGTATGGGCTTCCCTGGTGGCTCAGATGGTAAAGAACCCACCTGCAATGTGGGAAACCTAGGTTTGATCCCTGGATCAGGAAGATCCTCTGGAGAAGGAAATGGTAACCCACTCCAGTACTCTTGCGTGGAGGATCCCATGGACAGAGGAGCCTGGCAGGCTATAGTCCATGGGGTCGCAAAGAATCAGACATGACTGAGTGGCTACACAGTTATCCAACATGACTCCATCTAAGTCCTTACTTTAAAGGCATCTGCAAAGACCCTGTTCCCAAAAAAGGTCACCTTTTGAGGTTGTGGGTGGACATGAATTTTGTAGGGACACTATTCACCTCACTGCAGGTGGGGTGACCTCCTCACATCACTCTGTGACTTGCACTTGACTTTCAGGTCCTCCCTAACAGCCTCGGAGGGGCGAGGAGTGGTGTGGTGACACAGTGATGCACAGTTGGCTGTCCCCAGGTGGGCATCCCCTGACACAGCTATGCCTTTGTCCCTGCACAGCCTCCCATGACAGCTCAGACCTGGCTCTGCTGTAGGATCAGGGGAGCCACGAGAGACCATGTGTCATTGCCAGCAGACGTGTCCTGATGACAAGGTTTCTACTACATGTGGCATCCCACCCCCTCCACCAGCAGGAAGGGCCTCCGAATTCTCTCTGTCCCCCAGACTCAACGGCTGCATCCCACACGGGTCCAGGGAGACCCCACGATGCTTAGGTCACACCAGACACAGGCCCACTTGAATGATTTCCTGAAGCCACTGGCTGTTTCCCTCCATCCCCTCCTCCCCCGCTTATTCTTTGTAAAGGTCTCAGCACACATCCCTGAAAATAAAACTAAAACTGCTGCAACCCAGATCATCAGGGGTCAGAGTTGCACGCACCCCAACCCTCTCCACCGGGAGGAAAAAAGGTTGATGAGGAAACAGAATGGTTGTTTTCCCCAACCTCGTCGAACCTGAGGCAACAATTTTAAAAGGCACCTTAATTTATTTCTAAAAAGAGACAAACATAGCATTAAATCATTATCAGATGTGAGCAAAGCAAAGCCGCTAATCTGGCTTTTATTTGACTCCATTTAGTTAAAAGTAGCTTTCTGCTGGGGTAGGAGGAGGACGGGCAGGAGAGAAGAAATAAAATAATACTACTAAAAAATGCCCTTGATGGAAATGATAAGGTTCCCTTTGAAAGATGGTGCGTCTCTCTGCGTGGAGAGAAGGCAGCAGCTCCCAGCCCTTCAGAGATCCGGGGAGGAGGCTGGGCCCGGCTTTCTTATGTAAATCACCCACCGCCACGCTGCCAGCAGTGCCATCTGGCCCTGGGACTGACTACTAGGAAGACGGAAGCCAGACGGAAACACCAGTCCACACCTCGGGCGTCGGTGCAGGACACCTGGAGTCCGTACAGGACGGAAGAAGGCCCGTCTTTCGCAACCCAGAGTGCACAGTGAACTTGACTCAGGGTTTGGGATCCAGCAGAAGAGCCCCAGGATGGCGGATCACAGCCATGGCTTTTATTTGACATTGCAAATTTATCGCAAAACAAATCTCAGTTCTTTGTGAGAAAAAGGAAAAAAAGAAAAAGAAAGAAAGAAACAGAAGGAGGAAACACTCAGAATGGCATAAAGTTTTTTTATCTTTTTAAATTTTGACTCTGCTGGGTCTTTGTTGCTGTGCTAGGGCTTTCTCTAGTTTTGGCGAGCAGCGGCCACTCTCTTGTTGAGAAGCATGGGCTCTAGGGGACACAAGCTCAGTGATTGTGGTACACCGGCTTAGTCACCCTTAAGCATCTGGGATCTTCTTGGACCAGGGACTGAACCTGTGTCCCCCACACTGGCAGACGAATTCTTAACCACTGGGTCACCAGGGAAGTCCTGGCATAAATTCTTGACAAGCTCAAGCCCCACCTTGTGCCCAATCCTCACTCCCCGGAGGGGCTTCAAATCCTCACCTGTGCCCAAGAGAGGGCTTTTTGTGCCAGAGTGACCGAAGACCACAGTCTCCAGGGGAGGAGGTTTGGCATAGGAAGAAAGGCAGAGGAAAGCCCCTCAGGTGTATAGAGAACCTGCTTTTCAGACTTAAAAAAGCGTGGACCACCTTCCCACCCCAGCTGAGCCCAGCTTCACCGGCCCCAGCCCCCACGGATCCAAGGCCATGGTCACTGGAAGAAGGCGGGTCACTAATTCAGCCCCCAGTCCTGGTCCTGAGGCAAAGTGATTGTCCTCCCCAGCCCGGTCACCCATTATCAGCCAAGCATCAGCTCACCCCATAAGCCTGAGACCCTCCCAGCCCCCGCACCTCTGCCGGCTTCCTTCTCACCCACCCTCCTCTGAATCAACTTCTTTCTTTCTACCCGCTCCCTGCCCTTCTCCTGCTGTTCCTCTAACGGACTTTATCACCAACCGATCATCGATGCTGTAGCCTAGTGGTGTCTGAGCACCACCAGGAGGTCAGCTCCTGACCTGCGGCAGGGATGGGGGTCGCCTCAGGGCACCACAGTGTCCCGACTCCTGCACCAGCTGGCCGGGAGGAGTGCCCACAATCCAGGCCAGATGGATGAATGAATGAAGTAACGAGGGAGCGACGATAGACAAGCAGCAGCCCTGGCTGATGGCCTCTCTCCTGCCAAGGCCCCTCGCTGCTTCCTCGAGTGCTCAACCTCCCCTGGCTCCTGCAAACCTGTCGCCCGAGGGCTCCCCGGGCACATCATGGAGGGGCGCCCCCCCCGCCGACTCCCAGTCAGGGCAGGACTGCCACCAGTCCCTCCACACAACGTGCTGGGACAGTGGCCTGAGCTACACAAGGGCCTGTAGGGCTCCCTGTCCAGTCTCTGTTTTATAGACTAGACGTGAGGTAGGGAAGCAGCTGGGCCACCACTGTGCATGGACGGAACGAGCTCCTGGAGGATCTGCCTCTAGGAAAAGAGCAGCCCCTTGACCTCCCAGTTCTTAGAAGCATCTGGAAATAGGAGGAGATGAAAGTGAAGGATCCTATGCCCACCCCCACCCCTCCACAGTGCACCCCCTCCCAACTTTCTCCTCCTCCACCTCCTTGGCCTCCAGGACAGAAAGCAACTGGGCTCCAGACCACCTTCCTTCCTGAAACGCACTCCTCACCAGGGCCTGGTCCCTGGAGACGAGGCCTGGGCCTGGACTGGCCTGTGTGGACGAGCCGAGATCCTGCCGTGTGTGCAGCAGGCATGCAAAACACAGGGGCTGCCCTTGAAAAGACAGCTTGGAGAATGTAAACAACAGCCAGGGACACCCTTTGGTGGGTTCTCACACTGTAAACTCAGTTCTTTTGTCCACACAAGCACTGGGATGGGGGTGGGCAGAATAATTCCACTGACTCCGGCTGACCTGATCCCTGGAAGACATGACTCGGGTCATGTGGTCAAAAGGATGGAGTTAAGGATCTTGAGATAGGATGGTTGTCCTGGACTCTCCAGGTTAAGTCGAGGGTCATCACAGGGCCTCACGGGGAGGCAGGGGGACCAGAAGCAGAGCAGAGGCAGAGATCAGCGCTGCCCTCCCCTCAGATCAGGGCCAAGCAGACTCTCCCAGGGGCCACAGGCCACAGGCCACCTGACTGCCCTCGGCCACGTCAGCCTCCAGGGAAAACCAAGCTTATGCTGTGGACAGAAAACCTCTGATGAAGGTGAAAACAGCAGAAAACACAAAAACTGCCAAAAGAAAAAATGTGTAAAAGTTGAGTAGAAAACCTCTGACGAAGGTGAAAACAGCAGAAAACACAAAAACTGCCAAAAGAAAAAAATGTGTAAAAGTTGAGTATTTTTGTAGTTTTTTTAAAAGATGTGAAATAATACCAGTATAAAAAAATAGTACATACCAAACAATACAGTGTTTGTATAAAGCTCAGTAAAAAAGCACAATTTTATCATTTAAAAATAATTCATAAAATACATTTTGCTGAGAGCAAATCCTAACATCATAGACAGTGACGACTCCCGTGTGCCACAGAGAGAAACCGGCCTGGGTTCACCCGGGGGCTCGCATCTCCCACGGGACTGCTATGCAGTCAGTACTGGCAGCAGCCTGACGGAACTGGACAGGACCATCATACACAGTCGGGGCGTGGGGACCCCCCGATCCTTGGCCGAGTTCACGGAGCAGAGTCCTGGGACGGGAGCAGCTCATGAGAATGGCAGGACAGCCCCCACCTCTACTGGTAGATGACCTTCACGCAAAAGGTCTCCTCGTTTTTGTCTTCGTGGTCGTTGATGTAAATCAGGATCTCCTCCTCCCCGGCTTTCTGACGGGATGCAAACTGCAGGCCGATGGTGTAGGTCTCACCTCCCCCGACCTGGAAAGAAATGTTGCCATACTCGTGCCCACCCAGCCGGCTCCACAAGCAAACACACACACACACACCTGCCATACTCGTGTCCCCGCCCTCACCCGCCGGCTCCTCTCTCTTCCAGCAGCTTCCACACAGGCAAATACACATACACGCACGCACACACACACACACCCCACCCCCAGGCTGGCACACTTCAGAAAACACATGTACATTCGGAACCAACCTCCCATGTTACTGTCAAGCCCTCTCCCCCATAGCCGCTCTTCCCAAGTCCCCGGGAGACACGTCACTAAGCCCCCTTCCCTGACTGACAGCCTCTGATCCCCTCTGAGCCGCTGCTCACTTTCCCTAAAATAGATCAAGGCCTCACTTGCCAGACAATCTGGATGAAACTGCTGTGAAACTGCCGGGGATGTAGGGGCCTAGGTGTGGGGTCAGAGGCCCAGGCAGAGCTCAGCGGGGGCGCCCCTGGGGACTGCAGGCATCTCCCTGTTTCCTCCAGGACTTCCTGGAGCGCCCCCCTCCCTCCGCCCCTGCAGGGTCCCGCCCCCGAGCAGCCCGCACCTGGAAGGCGTCCTCCTTGAACTGCAGCAGGTGGGGGTGATCGCTGAGCAGGCGGTAGGCCCTCCGCGAGGGGTAGGGGTTGGTGTAGGTGATGCGCTTGTTGGTGCCCCTCCCGCCCCCCACAGGCAGCTTGATCTCGAAGGCCTGCGGGGAGTGCAGGAGTTGGCCCCTGGATGCTTCTCTGGCGGCTTCTCAAGCCTGCCCTGCGTTCGGGGCCCTTAGACGCTGGACAGCTCCATAAATACAGCAGACAAGCCCCCCGAGGTCCTGCCGAGGAGGCTCACGGTTCAGAAGCCAACACCCCCCAGACCCCCAGCCGCTGGGCAGGCCAGGTTAGGGGACCAGGTGACAATCAGGGGACACCCCACCCCAGCTGCACGGCCCCGCACCCCACATCAGACCTTGGAGATGAGAGGCGGCCGGCAGGAGAGACACAGGAGCCACGAGGCCACCAGCTGGTGGGCGTCCACGTCGACTAGGTGGAGGTGCGCGAAGCGGCTGCCCGGCCTGCGGGGCCTGACGCTCACATGCAAGTCCTGCACCCCATGAGGGGGCAGCACGAACACACCTCTGGGGTCCGTCTTCCGGGGGACAGGGGAGAAGGGGGGCGGGAGGTAAGGGCTTCATCCCAGGGAGCCCAACGGTTCAGGGGTGACCACCTGTGCTGGGCGGGAAGCCCACCAGTCTGCATGAAGTCAACCTTGCCACTGGCACCAGTACCAGCGGGGCACAGTCCATGTCCCCATCTTTGGGATTGAGTCCCCTCCCCCACAGCAGGAACCCCTAAGTGCTGGAGCGGCCTTGGCAGAGAAGAGCTGAACCAGCCCAGACTCGGGTGAGGCATCCGCATCATCCCATCATCGAGATGTACAACTGCAGCCATGCTGACTCCAGAGTCACAGTTAATTCTTCCCATGATATACAATATATACTCTCATAAATACGGTAATATATACTCCCAGCAATTCTACAAGTTGGCCCTGGGGGTCTGTAAATAAGTCAGTCATCCCATGAAGGCACATCTGGCAAAGGCGATGTGAACCAGGGCTCCATTGATTTTCAGGAACTCCCTGAGTCGCAGCACCATTCCCATCCCCTCCCCAGGTGGGCAAGGATAGGAGAGCCCAGGGGACCTACTCGAGACCCAACAGCCCCCACCCAAAGGCCATACCGTCAGCTCCTGGGGGTGTGAGCTGAAAGCCTGCACTCTCCTAACTGTCTGTGTCCCCCGGAGGACGAGAGCCAGGCAGGTCCTCTGGCCAGTGATACAGGAGACGTCCACTCGCTGCAGCGAGTGCAGGTGGACCTGCCAGGTCTGGACAGGTGTTGCCAACCAGCGGTCTCTGTGGGCAGAAGCCATTCACAGTCAGCGAGGACAGTACACTGACTGTTGGAGGGGAGCCCCAGGAGGCTGAGAAGGCAGCCAAGAGGGCAGGCGGGGCCCAGATGCTGTCACCCCCACAGTCCCCTTCCCTCGGAGGCTGAGGCTCTCAGGCAGGGCTGTGGCCTCTGTGTGGCCTTGACCCTGAATAGAAACCCCAAATGTGTGGCAACGTGGGCTTCTGCACACTTGCACCTGGGTCAGCAGAATCCCAAACCAGACCTAGAGCAAACCCCCTGGACAGCATGGCATGGACAAGGATGTGGGCTCAGAGGTCACATGGGCCTGAGCCCAGGCTCTGCACCAGCCATCTGGTGCCAGGGACACTGACCCTTGGTGGTAAATAGGCCTCAGGGGCACCTGCCCACAAGCCATCATGAGGACAGCACTCTTTAGCCACCACATGGCAGCTCCAAGCCAGGCACTGACCCTTGGTGGGGTGGGCACTCAGTGCAAGGGACACCCCCCAACCTTCCCCATTCCCAGACGGGCTGCAGCAAACCCTCCAGCTTGCCTGTATTGGTTTCAGAGGCTCTCAAGGCCTGGGAGATATGACCCACAGGAAGAGGGAAAGGGACTGAGGTCATTTCCCTGGGTCCTCGGGCATCACAGGAAACGACACCACCTTCCACCTCCCTGGGGAGCGTGGTAGGCACGACCACAGCCTGCATCCCTCAGACATGGGAGGGGCCATGGGGACAAGGCTGTCTGGCCATACTGGCACGTGCTGCAGCAGAAGTGGCCTCCTGCCTGGGTCTGAAGCGTCCCACCAGCTGGTAATGCCAGCTGAGCAGAAGCTCCTTGCAAGACCTCAGCCAGTCTCAGCTCACGTGGCCAAATGCCTGACGGCCTCCTCATCACAAGTGTAGAAGCTGCAGGGCTGGCTACTTCCAAGGCCACCAGCAGTCCCCAGCCTGCCTCCTCACCAACCCCCCACCCCACCCTCCACACTACCAGAGCCCACACGCTCACACGTAGATGATGACAAAGAAGTCCTTGACCTCCGGGCTAGGGCCACTGGCCACCTTCAGGAACACGTCACGGGGCTCCCCGGGGCCCTGTCGACAGGGGGGCGCATCACAGCAACACTGGGCTCCAACCTCAGCCCCCCAAGACCCCAGGAAGCGAATGCAGGTGTGAACCAGGCCCCCTCCCCCAACACATTTTTAATTCTCTGTACTCGTCAGAATTCATTATTTTTGTCACTGCAAAAGAGAAAAATCCTTAACTTCTTGATTTCATATTGAGTTTAATAATTATATTCTGCAGGAGATTTCATCCCATTTCCTAACCAGTCATAACATAATTATGGCCGTTATCCTTGCACAATGGCAATTAATAAGTGCCTTAATTACCATTCACTTTATTCTGTTTGCCTCACACATTTTTTTTAATTTAAATTCAGATAATCAAGGAACTGATCTGCTAGCAGGAAAAATGAAAACTCATTCATAAAACTCTCATGAGGATGTCAAAATAGCCCTTTAGCAGCTTAGAAACAAGCCACTTTGGTGAAAACCTAAAATGAAGAGGCTGCAGGACACCCGGGATGCAAACGGTAGGCAGGGCCTGGAGAGGGCAGGGCTACAGAACTTACCATATTCTGTGTCTCACAAATGATGTTTGGGTCACTACATCGAACGTGGAGTGGGGGGTCCTCACTGGACGTCCCTACAGGGGCACCTGGAGGGGGGAATATGAAAATAAATGTCTTTTCCCAAAAGCCAAGGCCCCGTAGGTGCTTAACGAAACCCATGAGGGGACACAGCTGTCTGCGTGAACACCAGCACTTTCCCACCCGAGGGAGTAACCAAAGGAAGCGGGGTGGGTACCATGGAGCCAGGAGCCAAATACAAAGGCTCAGTTCTATTCTGCAGGCACCAGGGAGAAGTGAATCAGCAGGTGAATCCCCAGGCCCAACACGGAGGGCAGCACAGAGCCTGCCACCTGAGGCTGGAGACCTTCCTAGGGCTGTGGATTCCAAGATGGAATCCGAGGGCCACGGGCGCCCTGCCACTGAAGAGGATGTGAGAAGGTCACCATGTCAAATGGTCAGGCAGGAGGCTACGCTGGGTCGTTTAAGAGCATCCCGGGTTGATGGAAGAATACTTGTCACCCTCAGGGAGAAGCCTTTTCCACCTGCTGAACCTGCCACAGGCTGGCCATGGGGAGAGTGGGACGTGCCTGGAAGCGTGTGCCAGGGCGGCAGGCGGATGGCCTTCTTCAGGAAGGTGTGCTCTGGGTGGTAGAAGCGGAAGACCTGGTCCACCACGTGGGGCTGCAGCTCCACCGTCAGGCAGAGCACAGCCAGGGGTTTGCCGCTGCCCGCGCGAAACAGGACCTGCCGGAGAGCGGGCGGTGCAGGGTCAGGACCCACACACAGGGTCCCAGGCAGCTGCGTGCATGGCACCTCTCTGGACAGAGAGGGTGGGGGTCCCCGTAGGGTCTGCTCACCCCCAGGAGGTGGGAAGGGCAGGCAGAGTCAGACACACAGGGTCTGCAGTCGTGGGTGCCCACCCGAGGTGACCGGCCCAGCACAGGTTCTTACACACATGGACCACACACGGCTGCCGCTCCTGCCACTTCCTGGAGGGAAGGGAAGTGCTCAAGATGCCAGTGAGAAAGGTCTGCAGCCCTGAATACCCCTCCAACACTCACACTGCCTGCATGTGCTGGGAAGTCACTCTAGAAGATCTAGACACTAACCCCACCAGGTCCTCATGGGCGGGAGCAGAGCACGTCCCCCAGATGGTAAAAGGAGGCTGTGCCTAAACCCAAATGGCTATAAATACAAACTTTCTTTTTTCTTAAAATGTTATTCACTAAAAAAAAAAATTTATGTGTCCAAGAGAGGTTCTAACTGGGGAGATGATGGAGCTAGTGCCTTTATTCCGGAACTCGGCCAGCCCAGTGAGCTCTCAGGAGCCAGGATGGACAGTGCGCACATCATCAACCCCGAAGCTGGACAACTTTCCCACATGGACAGACCTTCCACATGGAAAGGTCACTCTCCCACTTCGTGGGTTTTATTCTGAAACCTTTCAGATGTGTAACTGGACACATTATAACTGGACAGCTACCCATGAGGCCACGTGGGCATGAAACTGCCCACCCTCTGGGCCCCCAGCACTCAGCCGCCCTCTCCAGGGAGCCCTTCCTGAACTCACAGTCACTATCCCTTGTCTGTCTTCACCATTCCCTCCGGTCTTTAAGTGACTCTGTGTTGGTGCCACCTTTTTGGAGGGTCACCTGAAAGCCACTGCCCCATGCATCTGTCCCCAAGTCTGTTGCCATGTCTTGTGTGTGCCCACCCGGCTTCATGATCCACTGGGAGGGGAGGCCCACCACTGTACCCACATTCCTGGCAGCTGCGCCCTGACACTCCTGCTGGAATTTCACTGCTACGCTGGGATCTTTAGCTCTACAATAACTGACTGTTTATTTAGAGCAAGGATCTGTTCAGAGGGATCAGGAGCAAGGGCACCCCAGTTATAATGAGCACACTCAGCACCAGACCCTAGTTTCTAAACACCATTCTCCACTAACAGGAACCTTAGATAACTGGCTGATCCAGACATGGAGCAGAAAGTCTAAGATGACTCAGGACGGAACATCTCATGTGCCAGGCACTGAGGAAGAGAGCCAACAATGGCAGGGACCTGTCAAAAGGACACAGGAGCCAACTCAAAGCAGAAGCCCCTGGTGGATGAGCAGTAAAACAGAGAAAGACAGTGACAAATGACAACCTGCTGAATGAAAGAAGAATTCATGCTCCAAAATGGTGACAAATAAACTACAGGAATGAATGGAAGGAGGCAAAGCTCTGCCTCACTTAGAATGTAGACGGGACGATCAAATCCGAAAGTCACCGACAGCCAGCCATCACGCAAGAATCATCAGTGAAAAATTATTTTAAAAAGAATGTCTGTATGTGTAAAACTGAGTCACTTTGCTGCACAGCAGAGATTGGCATGACACTGTAAGTCGACTATACTTCAATTAAAAAAAGAATCATCAGTGGATATGAAAACTAGCAGCGGAAGTTGCATGAGGAGCAAGATATTGACATAGTCTGAGCATCTCCTGACAAAACTCAGATATTGACATAGTCTGAGGAGCTCCTGACAAAACACTATAGTTCTAATTATCATCTATAAAATACTTGTGAATTAATTTTACATTGAAGGAGCCTGGCAGACACCATCTTAATCAGGTTAGAGAGTTAAATTAACATCACTGGAAATAGAACAAATCAAGATCGTGTCCCTCCCGATCAGAGGCTCTGAGAACACAGCATACCATCTGTGCTCGTCCAGCCCTGGATGCACAGCCTGAACCCACTGATTCGCGAACACAGACAAACCAGACTGAGGGGCAGGTGGAAGAACTGGCCTTTGTGCATCCAAAGTACTGAGGTTGCGGAAGACCAGGAAAACTGGGTGGGACCACCCGATGTGCCATGGGACCCCGGGTGGGTGAGGGGTCCAGGGGTGGGATATTTGGTAAAATGCAATCCAGGTCTATGACGAAATTGTATCAGTGTCAATTTTCTGATTTTCCAAGGCTGAGCACCAAAGAACTGATGCTTTTGAATTGTGGTGTGGAGAAGACTCTTGAGAGTACCTTGGACAACAAGGAGATCAAACCAGTCAATCCAAAGGAAATCAACCCCGAATATTCACTGGAAAGACTGATGCTGAAGCTAAAGCTCCACCATTTTGGCCACCTGATGCAAAAAGCCAACTCACTGGAAAAGACAGTAACACTGGGCAAGACTGAAGGCAAAAGGAGAAGGAGGCAGTGGAGGACAAGATGATTAGACAGCATCACCCACTCAACGGCCATGAGTTTGAGCAAACTCCAGGAGACAGTGAAGGACAAGGGAGCCTGGCATGCTACAGTCCATAGGGTTGCAAAGAGTTGGACATGACTGAGCGACTGAACAACTGTGGTTGTGGAGTAGAGAGTCCTTATTTTCAGGACATACGAGTTCTAAATTTCAAGGAGCAATCGGGCATTTTGCCCATAACTTATTCTCAAAGTGCTCAGAAAATATATATATATATACGGATAAATATAGACACAAAATGATAAGGTGAAGATAAAATGTCAACAACTAGGAATATGAGTAAATAGTACACGGCGATTCTTCACACTATTCCTATAACTGTTCTCTAAGTTTGAGATTATTTCAAACTAAAAAAAAAGGCACAGAAATAAATAATTTTTTTTTTAAAGGCACAGGAGCTAACTTGAAAAGGATGGCCATGGCCAGAGAGAGGACAGTTTAATGGCCACTGCACTGCCTGCTACACAGCAAATATAAAACCACGAGTTCATAATGAGACTCCCCCCAAAACTGACCAGCTTTGAAGGTTCCTAGGGCACAACTCATTATTTTAAAAATTCATAAGTAAAGGGAAAGAATCCAACATTTACCCCGACATTCTGGTATAAGATATATTTCAGGGTAACCAAACTGCTGACGGGGGAAGCTCTTATTTATAGAAGAATCACAATCAGTAAGTACAGGAACAATGAGCAAGGTGGAGTTTTACCTTTCCACCCTGATGGAATAATGGGTGTGGACAGTGGGCCTTTAGTGGACACATTAGCCACCAGGAATAGCCAGTCGCCTCGGCCTCTGCATGTGAGGCCACAGTCAGCCCAGTGAGGCTGGCCCATGGTGGCCGGCCCTCACCCAGTGACTCCAGGGACAGAGCGCCGAGGACAGCGGGCCCCGGCTTCCACAGACCAACCACAAAAGGATGAGCGAGTACAGAATGGACATCAGGCCATCCTGAGGATCTGCTGCTAACTTGGGCGCAGTGATGATGGCACAAAGCCAGGTTAAAAAATTAGTTCTTATCAGTTTAGAGATACATACGGAAGTAATTATGAGTAAACTTGTAAGGTGTCTGGGATTTGTTTTGAAACTCCAAATTCACGTAAGGAAAAATTAGCCTCTCAGATTTCATTTATAGCCCTAACTAAGAAGTTGATACATTTCTTAGACAAAGGCAAAGCTGTTGGCTCCATGTTTAAATAAAATACAGCAAATTTTCCCCGGTCATGGGTCATGGGCACAGGACTGCCCCCTAATATGGAGAATCAGGGATGCAAGGCTGCCAGGTTCTCAGTCTTGGAAATCTGTTCTCGGGGCAAGCAGTGGGGCAAAAGTGTTCTTGTTTTTACTTTCATTTACTTTCAAAAGGCAATTTTTTTTGGAAAGTCACTCAGTCATGTCCAACTCTTTGCAACCCCATGGATTGTACAGTCCATGGAATTCTCTAGGCCAGAATACTAGAGTGGGTAGCCTATCCCTTCTCCAGGGGATCTTCCCAAGCCAGGAATCAAACTGGGGTCTCCTGCATTGCAGGTGGATTCTTTACCAACTGAGCTATCTGGGAAGCCCTTCAAAAGGGCCTGGAGAAATCCATGGACTCTACAGTCCACGAGGTTGCAGAGAGTCATACACAACTGAGTGACTTTCAAAAGGCATTAGTCTACCAAAAAAAGAAAACAAAAACAAATTTCTATAAAACAACAGTTTCCCAGATAACTAATAAGGACCTATTGTATCGCACAGGGAACTCAATACTCTATAATGACCTATATGGGAAAAGAATCTGAAAAGAGCGGATACATGTAGATGTCTAACTGATCACTTTGCTGTCCATCTGAAACTAACACAACACTGTAAATCAACTGTACTCCAATAAAATTAATAAGAACACGACGCTGTCCCAGGCTCCCCTAAGGACATCCTATATCAGCAGGCGTGTGATTGAGAAGTTCACCCTGCAAAGCCACCCCCAGAGATGGCAACGGGTGAGCCCTACTTCCCAGAAGTAACACACAGACACACACACACCACCTTGATTCTACACAACACGGATACTCTGTCAGGGTCAGAAGGCCCGTCTGACCCTGAGTGTGGGGGCTATGCGGTGCTGGCTACAGCGGACACTGTGGGGGCGGGATGCTGGCTTCCCACTGAGCAAGTCTCCAGGGAGGTGTTTCCATGCTAGGCCTCTGCCTGGAGCCCATACCAGAATCTGGCTGAAGCTGCCACTGCCCTGTTAGGACACGTAATGTCTACCTCCATGGGCCCTGCCTCACCCCCACCCTAGACCTCTCCCCTCTAGGAGGTGCAGAGAAGGGTACGGGGCCCTGAGAAACAGACCACAGAACCCATGACATCCTTCACCCTCCACTCAGAGGACCCCTGGCCGGCACTGCCAGACCTCAGACCATCCAGATGGGAAGCCTACTGTCCTCTGCCGCTTACCTTGGCATGTTTGGTGGGCATCGTGCTGGACTTACGAGGTGACCTGGCATCCGTGTCCTTCTCTGATCTCAGCTCAGCAGAGGCCTGTGAGAAACCATGAGCCCCCGGGGTCATGAGATGGAGGCCCAGGGTGACAGGTGCTTCTTCCCACCTGTAGGACCTTCTACCTGTAGGAACGGCTGCCACCCTGAGTCCATGGCCTCAGAGGCCCCTTTACTCTCACAGTGACTCAACCCCTGGCAGCTGCTGTTATTAACCAACCCCACACCCCAAAGAAGAAGGGGGGCATGCTGAGAGCTGAAAGGGGGATCAGAGCCCATAACCCAGCTCTGCTCAAAGCCAGAGCCCTGACACCTTCACTATAGTCCAGACAACCTCTTGCCCCAAAAGTGCATCCAAAAAGCCTGTACTGAAAACTGTGAGCCCCTCACGTTCATCTCAGTGGTGAGCACTGCCTTGCAGAGCCGACCTCACGGGGTCAGAATGGAACACGCCCACCGTATCTGCCCCATCACAGCACGTGCTCTGCTCACACCCCGACAAGAAACCGGGGTGTGCAGTTCATGTTGGGGAGCAAGCAGCAGTGACGAGAGTAGAAAACCCTAGAAAGTTTCAACCCGCCAGCTCCTCTGAGATTCATAAAAGACTCTTCTACGAAATTAGGAGCGAGGATGAAGAGGAGGCGGTCCAGCTTTCCTCAGCGCTGAGCGACCCGTCAGGGCTGCTGGATCCCAGCACAGATGCTGGGCATGAGGTGGGTGGCGGGGGCACAGGTGAGACAGGGACAGTCAGGGCTAACCATCTCCCACCACAAGGGACGGGGTCCCCACCTCCCACATTACTTGGCAAGTGGGCTTTCCCAGGTGTCCGGCCAGCCCCTTGGCATGAGAAGACTGGCCTTCCTCACCTGTGCCGGGGCCTGTGGGCCCACAGAGAAAGTCTGGAACTTGAAGGGGATATGGGCAGTCTCCCGGGGTCGCAGGAAGAGTTGGGGGGCCAGGTTGCCCCGCAGGTGGAACATGTCCTCCTCCAGCGGCGTGTGCAAGTCAGCTATGTCCTTGAAGTACCGCCACTCCTGACTGTCCAGGATGAGGCTAAAGGGAGGGGAGACAGCGCTGGGCCCAATGTCCTTCCGGTCAGTCCCAGCAGCAGGCGGATGCGTTGGTAGGGGTAGATGCCCCCACCCACTCAGACCCAGCGGCCGGGACCCTCGAGGGCAAAACCAGCTCAGCTCTCGGTTGGAGCTGAGGGTAAAGGCTAGGGGCCTCACGGGGTGCCCACAATCCCACCTGAGCTCGGGGTTGTCTATCTCGATGGTCACCGTGTGCTGCGCGTTGTGGGGGTTCCTCAGGGCGAACTCGAAGAACTCGGCAGCACCCAGCGCGGCGTGGATGGTGTGCTGCGTGGTGATGGCCGTGCTCAGCGCGCTGGCGATGCTCTCCGCCTTCGTGCGCTCACGGTAGGCGGCAATGACCTGCAGGTCTCGGGCGTGCTGGGCATGGAGGCTCTGCTGGGCCTGCAAATACAGGGACCGAGGGGGCCATGGTCCCGAGGCTCGACACGGCTCGGGGGCTGTTTTCTGGCCACCTCCCCTTCTCCACCCCAAATGCCAGACTCCTTTGGCATCAATACCACCCCCTTCTTGGACTCGGGGTCGGGTGGGACTGGCCGCCTCAAGCCCAGGACCTGGGGAGGCACCATGTGCCCAGGAGGCCGCGAGGGGCTCCAAACACAGAGGAGGCCTGGAGAGCTGAATGCCTTCAGACTTTGACGCAGAAGGTAAGGACCAAATTTGACTTCTGACTTAAATTAGTTTGGATATTGACTTTCCCGTGTCCAACACTCTGGCCTTTCCCCAGGAGGAGATTGACGCTGAGCTGTGTGTCTCCCGGGGGCTTTGAAAAGAGGAGGGCGGTAGTGTTGACACTTGAGACCTCCCTACGTGGGCATTTTCTGACCAGAGCTTCTCTATGGAATGGAACCTCTGCCAGGCTGGGCTGGACACCACAGCCAGACCTAATTCAGGGTGAGAAACAAACAGAGCTGGGCTTTTCAACCTGGACTTGAGACAGAGGGCTATTCCGGCCTGTCTCCAAGTGGAGGGGACACAGCCTGAACTGCCCACCAGTTAGAGGCCCCAGGACGAGGGCTCTGGGGGACAGGCCCCGTGAAGATGGGCGCAGGGCTGGCCCATCTTCAGACTGACCGCCCAGGTGAGCACAGCGATGGCCACTCCCCGGTTCACTGTAGGCCGGGTGGGTAAAGCCACAGACAGAGACAGTGTGGCCCAGAGCATAAGGTGCCCACACTGTTCCAGGCCAGGGGGAACGGCTGGCAAGAAGGATGGACCTGCCTGTGGGGTCTGGAACCACCTGCAGCTGCCTGGCACCCAGCTCAGTCTTGTACACACTCAAGCCAATCCTCCAGTATCCACTTTATAACTGGTGAAGTGAAAAGTGAAAGTGTTAGTCACTCAGTCGTGTCCAAATTTTTGCAACCCCATGGACTGTAGCTCACCAGGCTCCTCTGTCCATGGAATTCTCCAGGCAACAATACTGGAGTGGGTTGCCATTTCCTTCTCCAGGGGATCTTCCTGACCCAGGGATTGAACCTGGGTCTCCTACACTGCAGGCAGATTCTTTACCATCTGAGTCATCAGGTATGCCGAGAGCCATCAGTAAAACAGAGGTGATATCTTGGTCTTTTTCTGCCATAGTTCTGTCATTTCTTAATTCAGAACTCACGCAGGCAAAGGTGATGATACGTATTGGACCCCTCTGACTCCCAGAGGCAGCAGTTGGTACTGTGGCCCCAAGACTGGTCCAGAGGTGGGCATGCCACCCACCAGTGCAGGACACCAGAACCACACGCTGACATTTCTGGAAAGTAAAGCCCTCTCTTCCGTGGCACTTGGCGTGGTCTGACAACATGGAACATGGGACTAGTGTCACCAATTTGCTAGTGTGAAGGGCAATCCTGAGACGCCAGGGAGACAGGGTGGTGACCAATAGCAGTCACTAGGGCAGCCACTGACCTGGGCATTGGACACAGGGTAAGCTGAGTGCCCCTCACATGAAAGCTATGGCTGCCCCAGGGCCTGCCAGAGGTTCTGACTCTGCACTCCTGGCCCCAGGCCAACCACCTCCCCCCATAAGCCGGAGACCCACAGCCTTGAGTCTGACCATCAGAGAAAGAAAGCCGCACCCCTAGCTGTCTCCTGACTGTCTTCACATGATCCCCAGCTCCTGGGGTCCATGGAACCACACGATTCCATGTGCTACACACATGCAGGGTCAGCCAGGACACCGTGCCTGCTGACTCTTCCCGAGGACCCACTGACTTCACAGAACTTCCATCTCTGCGTCAAAGATGAGAATCTTTCCAGAAAGCTCTGGAAGAGAGAGAGACTACCGTATATTTGATAAATCAGGTTACTTTCACCTCAAAATTCTCCAGGGCTATGAACCCAGGAAATCATCACAATTTAGCAGAAAATTTTCTTGTATTTGGAAATCCAGTTACTTCCAAATTTACTGCTGTATTCAAAACAAGGTTCTGAGCTGTTGATTTTCTCTATCAGAACATATCAAATAAGAGGAAACCAGCCAAATTAATCATAATAATGATGTTGGTAACAACAGCACTGGCAGTTGTCGGGCGGAGGACCTGCTGTGCGTGTGGCCAGCCACCCAGAGGCTGGGACCCCTGGCGTCCCCGGGTAGCAGCTGATCGGCCCTCAGAGGCTGCACAGGAGGCAGTGGCCTGGATGCCCTGTGGCCCGGAAGGAGGCCTGTCCCCAGCCCAGCCCTGGGTCAGCCTCCCCTCAAGGCATCCTCACAGCCATAGCTCTGCTCCGCAGCAGCAAGACTCTGCCGCACTCGGCTCCCATGGTCCACCGGCTGTCTGGGCTGTCTGGGCTGTCTGGGCCCCACCCGGCCATGCCCCCTCTCACATCCCCCCCTGCTGTGCTCCACGCCCTTCCTCCCCCCAACCAACTCAGGGCGGTTCCTTGTCCACCTGTGGGCACTGGGTGAGGGCCAGGCATGGCAACTCTGTTTGTGTCCACCAGGCCACAGGCACAGGCCTGGCTGGAGAAGGCTGTCATCTGTTCAGACACCCGCCTGCCTCGATATAGAGGCCCCTAGGGCCCCTGTGGGCTCCTCATCCCATAAACTCATAAGGTACAACCATCTTCTCCTATTTATTAGCTGCAAAATACTACAGGGTCTTACTTAGATTTTTAGTCCAAAGTGGGAATTCTGACCATCACGGTTGCTCTGGCACCTGTGATAAAAAGTCCTCATGACTTTGCTCCCCAAACCTGGGGAACCCTCAGAATCCCTCTCGGAGCTGTTTTAAAAGTTTAGGCTCCAAGGACCCCACCCCGCACCAGTAATTGATTAGAATGGAGCCCAGGAATTGGTTTTTATTCAAAGTACTGCCATAATTCTGGCTTGAAAACCTCCCCTGATGGCTTAGAAGTCGAATCTCTCATGTTCTGTAATGAGGACGCAGAAGGGACAGGGTGGCTCCTGCAATGTTCCGGTGAACCCGCCCGCTCCTGCTGGGGGACCAGACACCCAGGCTCACCAGCGCGCCCAGCCCACGGCGGCCCGGCTCTGATCCGCACTCCCGCAGTCGCACGGCCCTCATGCGCTCCAGCTTGCGCCTGCGGACGGCATCCCCCTCTTGACCGACACCCAGGGGCCCCCGGGCTCCCGGTCTCGGGGCTGTGAAGAGCAGGGCAGCCAGTCCGCTGTCCACGTCAGCCAGCTTCTGGGCTTGGACCACATTTTTCACTGCTGGAAGGTTCAAACAGAGGATCGGAGGTTAAAGGGCAGAGTTTACGCTGTCTAAGCAGCCAGGGCTCCATGCCTAGCAGAGCACTTTGCCCAGCGAGGGAGCCCAGAAAGCACCCAGCTTCTCGTGAACCCTGGGGCGCTGACACGGGTGGAAATGGTGCATCCTTCCCTGGTCGGCATCCTTCCCTTCTCCAGCCTCTCACAAAGAGGGGATTCGGTCTCGGTCCCGGGACACAAATGTATGAATCCCCCTAGGTGATCGTCTAGGAAAATCTCACTGTTGCAGAAGCTCACGCCCTCAGGATGCCCCAGGGCCATGACCCTGCTCACCCCCAGTCCCTCCAGCAAGCACGCTCGACACCCGGCACCACTCTGAGCTCTCAGGCACACGGTCCCGGCAGGTCCTCAAGCTCACCTGGGTGGGGGTGTCACAAGCCCCGAGTTCAGATCAGGAACTGGGGACTCTGAGGAATCCTGTCCCTCAGCCTGAGGTCCCTGGACAGCAGGGTAGCTGAAGACTGGACCACCCTGGCTCGTACCCCAAGTCCTCTGCTCTGCACCTGCTTCCTCTGACTGGTGGGGCCCCCCAAGCCCTGTCTCCTCTGCGGTTTCTACTGGAACCCTGGACCCAAAGGCAAGTGGTGCAGCCGACAAACGGAAGCCACAGCAGGCAGGCCAGGCCCCAGCAGCCAGGAGAGCTGCACTGCCTTCCTCCCATCCGCGGTGCTCCTGGGACATGTGCACATGGCATGAGCCACATCACAAGCTGACACACAGACTCCTGGGCAATCACTAAACCAGGCACAGGCGAGCAGGTGAGAGGGAGCCCCCGACCTGGAACTGGGTACTTCCTCCAGGCACTCCCAGAACCACAGGATGTAACCTCTAGCCTGAACTCCGCTGGCCGGGTGCCCACTCCCCGTCCTCGTGTGTCTCCACCTCCTGCTGCAGTGCTCCACATCCTCCCTCAATAGAGACGAGCACTATTTCCAGGTTCTGGGTGCCATGAGATGGTGCAGACGTCTCACACGGTCATCCCAAAAGAGCACTTGTCCTGTGTCTGGGGTCCAACTCCACAGGGATAGGAGTTCCAATCTGGATCAGGCTCAAGCAGCCCGAGGCCCACGGTCCCACGAGGAGGGGCCAGGGTGGGAGATGAACAAGGATGGGGGTGATCGATCAGCTCATGTGTTCAGACTGCGTCACCCCGATAAATCACTTTCCCGGTTCCAATGAAACCAGAAATGAAATTCAGCGTGGCCACGCGGGACCACACTGCTGAAGCCAGGAAGTGCCTTGTAGAGCTCAGCACAACTTCCGCTTTCAGAACCTTGCCAGGGGGTGGACATGGCTTCTGGTGGAGCACCTTTACCCTCTGGTTTTGATTAAAATAGGGATTAGAGGACCAATGACCCTAGAGGCTCTCAATCCCTTCAACAAAACCTCACTGTTAAAACTCCCCGCACTCCCCAGAGGAGCCCCTGACCTGCCAGGCCCCGACCACAGGTTTTACAAAACCACTCCCATTTTTTTGGCTTTATACTATACTGTTCATGCAAAAAGGCAAAATGCTTGCCTAAGGAGGTCTTCCAAATAAGTGAGAAAAGAAAAGAAAAGAAAGGCAAAGGAGAAAAGGAAAGATACATCCATCTGAATGCAGAGTTCCAAAGAATAGCAAGGGGAGATAAGAAAGCCTTCCTCCATGATTAGTGCAAACAAGTAGAGGAAAACAACAGAATGGGAAAAACTAGAGTTCTCTTCAAGAAAATTAAAGGTACCAAGGGAACATTTCATGCAAAAATAGGCACAATAAAGGACAGAAATGGAACGGATCTAACAGAAGCAGAAGATATCAAGAATACACAGAAGAACTATACAAAAAAGATCTTCATGACCCAGATAACCATGATGGTGTGATCACTCACCTAGAGCCAGACATCCTGGAATGCAAAGTCAGGTGGGTCTTAGGAAGCATCACTACGAACAAAGCTAGTGAAGGTGATGGAATTCCAGTTGAACTATTTCATATCCTAAAAGATGATGTTGTGAAAGTGCTACACTCAATATGCCAGCAAATTTGGAAAACTCAGCAGTGGCCACAGGACTGAAAAAGGTTAGTTTTCATCCCAATCCCAAAGAAAGGCAATGCCAAAGAATGTTCAAACTACCGTATAATTGCACTCATCTCACATGCTAGCAAAGTAATGCTCAAAATTTTCCAAGCCAGTCTTCAACAGTATGTGAACTGGGAACTTTCAGATGCTCAAGCTGGATTTAGAAAAAGCAGAGGAACCAGAGATCAAACTACCAGTATCTGTTGGATCATCAAAAAAGCAAGAGAGTTCCAGAAAAACATCTATTTCTGCTTTATTGACTATGACAAAGCCTTTGACTGTGTGGATCACAATAAACTGTGGAAAATTCTTCAAGAGATGGGAATACCAGACTACCTTACCTGACTCCTGAGAAATCTGTATGCAGGTCAAGAAGCAACAGCTAGGACCAGCCATGGAATAACAGACTGGTTCCAAAGTGGGAAAGGAGTACGTCAAGGTAGTATATTGTCACCCTGCTTATTTAACTTATATGCAGAGTACATCATGAGAAATGCCAGGCTGGATGAAGCACAAGCTGGAATCAAGTTTGCCAGGAGAAACATCAATAACCTCAGATATGCAAATGATACCACATCTATGGCAGAAAGTGAAGAGGAACTGAAGAACCTCTTGATGAAAGTGAAAGAGTAAAAAAGTTGGCTTAAAACTCAACATTCAAAAATTGAAGATCATGGCATCCGTCCCCATTACTTGACAGCAAATAGATGGGGAAACAATTAAAACAGTGAGAGACTTTATTTTCTTGGGCTTCAAAATCACCTCAGCCATGAAATTAAAAGACGCTTGCTCCTTGGAAGAAAAGCTATGACCAACACAGGCAGCATATTAAAAAGCAGAGGCATTACTTTCCAACAAAGGTCCATCTTGTCAAAGCTATGGTTTTTCCAATAATCATGTATGGATGTGAAAGTTGGGCCATAAAGAAGGCTGAGTGCCAAAGAATTGATGCTTTTGAACTGTGGTGTTGGAGAAGACTCTTGAGAGTCTCTTGGACTGTAAGGAGATCAAACCAGTCCATCCTAAGGGAAATCGGTCCTGAATATTCATTGCAAGGACTGATGCTGAAGCCAAAGCTCCAATACTTTGGCTACCTGATGCGAAGAAGTGACTCATTGGAAAAGTCCCTGATGCTGGGCAAGACTGAAGGCAGGAGGAGAAGGGGATGACAGAGGATGAGATGGTTGGATGGCATCACCAACTCGATGGACATGAGTTTGAGCAAGCTCCAGGAGTTGGTGATGGACAGGGAGGCCTGGCCTGCTGCAATCCATGGGGTCGCAAAGAGTCAGACTCAACTGAGTGACTGAACTGAACTGAACTCCCACTAGTTCCCAGGGATGGGGACTTCCTGCTCCATCAGCCAGCTCTCCATCCATACTCTGGGTGACCAGAGGGACCAGCTGGGGGTAGAGAAGCACTGGCCCCAAAGCAGGGAATCCAGACTCTAGTCCAAGTTCACAACCCTTAACCACACCACCGGCCAAGTCACCTAACCTCTCTGTCTTGGCTTCTCTGACATTAAAATGAGGTGCCTGACTCATTAGCATGGACCCCCTAGAGCATCTGAATGTACCCCAGCCCCTCTCCTGGGAAGAATGAGAAGGCCCCACAAAGTTAGGGCTGAAGTTCAAGGAGACTGTGGGATCCTGGAGGCCTCCTTCTCCTGAGCTCCTCAGCTCTGACTTCCCACCTGGGGCACAGAATTCAAGGCCAACAACATCAAGGGCCATCAACACAAGAAGTTCATGGTGGTTTTGGATTCACATGAGATGACCCACAACATTTGGGGGGTGCTCCTCTACGGGCACCCTCCACTTTTCATTCCAAGGACAGTATTTGACATTCAGGTCTGTGGGTCATTCGACAGAAAATCTTCCTGGTTATGCAAGATTTTTACCAAGCCCAGGTCTTTATCACCCAAGTTTCCTAACTGGTTTATTCTTCTCTTTCCAACATGAGGAGTTTCAAACTAGTTTTAAAAATCAGTCTCTGTGTATCCTGACCTTTCTCCATTTCCTCTTCCCTCACAAAGCAGCAGATGCCTAAAAACAAACGTCACTCATAGAACTGTGAACTCTGAAGAGTAACAGTGGCTTCCACCATCTGGAGAGGGCAGGGTGGAAGGGCACGGTGACTCAACATGGCCTGCAGGTCACTGAGCCAGATGCTGAGCCACCAGTCCACCCCCAGATCCAGGACAATGGGCACCACACAGCCTCACACATGTGTACCTGCACACGCATTCACACACATTCACACAGGCACACACAGCCTCCCTTCCTTCACTCCATCCCCCCCACCCCCCCAGCCCATCACACCAAGCACAACCCTCCCCTCCTGACCGCAGGTTCCTTGTCCTCTCCACTCACGTCTGGGGACCCCGGGTGTTAGGAGGCTGCCTCCTGTGAAGCCGCCGACGCCGTCATTCGAGATGACCCTCGACCTGGAAGGTGGCAGGGAACTGGGACTCCCCACTCTCTGTTCACACAAGTGACCTGTATGAAAACACCCCCCACACACACCACCCCGCACAGCACATTAATACCAGAAAAGAGTCTGACAACACACATACACACCTGATAAGGAGATCTGGCTTCAAATACCCCCTGACCCACCATCATCCCCACATTCCACTCTTGGCCTGAATTTGTTTTGCAATAGAGATGGTGGGTGGCCAGGAGAGGCCTGTGTTCCCTCGAGCACCCTGCTCTCCAGGTCCACACCTCCTCTCCTTCCCCTGAGCAGCCATCTGCTCTCCGGAGAGGAGTTGGGGCTCAGGACCCTCAAGGCAGGTCCCCAGGAGCCCAGCTTGTGCTCTGGGATGGTCACAGACTCTGTCGTCAGCCCTCGCGTGTCACACTGCTGCAGGAAGGCCTTTGTACCCTTCTGCAAACATCTGTGCCCAAAAACTCCTGGCGGGAAGGAGTCTCCATGTGAGAACCCCGGGGAGAGAGGAGACCCCCACAGAGCCCCTGGGGGAAGGGGGAAGGAGCCTCAATAGGGGGCCCTTGGGTGAGAGAGGAGCCCCACACAGGGCCCCTGGGGGTGGAGGAGAGGAGACTCCATGTTTGTGAAAAAGCCCTGGAGGGGACAAAGTCACTTCAGGGGACAGGGTGTCCCAAGGGCCAGCCCCACTTCCCTCCAGCTGAACCGGGGCAGGCTTCACTACTTCCAGTGTCATCTGGTCCCAGGGATGACAAGTGTTTGCCGCAGATGTGCTTCGCCTGGGTGGATGGGCCCTGTCCTCGGGACCACCACCTCTCTGCGTGGACCTGACACCCCTCGGGGTGAGGCAGACAGAACTCAGATGTCAGACCCGGAAACAACCACCAAACACAAGACACGCTACTCATCTCTCTGATTTCAGCTGGGAGTTGAACACCGGCAGTCTGGGGTGTCCGGCGGTCTTTCTGGGAGGGGTTAGAAGGGGACCCCTCCCCCAGATGGGACCCAGGGGAAGGGGTGACTCTCCTGCTCAGCTCAGCAGCCCCCTTCGGCCCCACCTCTGCAAGTCTACTTGCTGCCGGGAGGCTGCTGTTCACGGCAAGCCCAGCACGCCCCGCCGCCTGCAGGTGTCAGCTCGTCCTCGCGGGGACGAAGGTGGGGTTTGTGTCTCCAGCAACCTGACGGGAGCTCTCTCTGGGCTGTTCTCAGCCAAGGCTGGAAAGAGGGTAGCCATCCTTCCAACGGAAGTCAAGGTACCCGCACTGCTCCAGCGGGGGGCCGCCACCCCCAGACCCCAAGGAACAGCAGCAGACCCTGGAACTGCAGTTGGAGATCCCAAACACGTCAGTGTGACAGCAGACCATCCCCCCAAAAGATGAGTGAGGACAAAGGCCTGCTGTGGGCACGGGAAAGGCCAGATTCAGAAATGAAAAACCGAGGGACTTCCCTGGCGATCCGAGCTTCCATGACAGAGGGCATAGTGTTCGATTCCTGGTTGGGAAACTAAGAACCTTCAGGCCATGCAGCAGGGCCAAAAATAAAAACGACAGACAGAAATCATCTCTGGTCAATCAAGGAGCAATTCACTCGACAAGGTTTAAAGGCTGGTGACACAGCAGTGAGCGAGTCCTGCCCTCGGCGAGCTTTCATTCTGGTCCTCTTGAGCGTTTTCTGGGAATCTCAGCTCCCCGAGGCCTTCCTGCCTCCCCTCCTGTGACGGGAGCTGCCTCCGTCACCTGCCCAGCCACCACACACTCAGATGCAGTCCTGGCAAACTGGAGGTTCTGCTTCTTCCACATCTTCCTGGGGAAACGGCCGCATGGGCGGGTGTGGAAGCCCATGGTCCAGAGCCCCCGGGGGCAGCGGCAGCCCCAGAGTCCACGGTCAGAACTGTTCTGTCGTTGCTCTGGGAACCAGCAGGAAGCCGCCCCACCGTCCACTCTCATCGCTCGCAGCTGCCCCCACGCCCTTCCCAGGGGTCTTCCATCTTCCCCAGCAAACTGAAGCCGCTAAGCATTCTTCTCATCTCCATGGTACCTATTTTTGACCTGACAGCAGCTATCATCCTAGGATCGTGAACATCCTCCCTGAGAAAGGAACCTGGTATCGACCCCTCCTCACTCAGAGGAGCTCTCACATCTGAGGTTGGCTTCATCCCCTGACGTCCAAGATGATGGAATTCTGAGGCCAGACAAGCTCTCAGACTGGCCGGCATAGCGATTACTTCCTGAGTCCTCCCACGGCTGTGCTGGGTCAAGGGCAAACATGACAAGGGAGAACCAGCAGTGTCCTTGAGGGCCCAATGCCGTGACTTTCTCCACCACCTTAATCCTGCAGGGAGTGGGTCCCTGGGTCGTGGGCAAGGAGGCCTGTGGTCCACCTGGATCCAGCTGAAAGGAGGCAGGCATGTTGTGAGCCTGATAATAGCTCCACTGAGACCCACAGAAACCCAGGGAACTGCAGCAAAGCCCAGATCTGCTCCACCAGCTCGCCGGGGCAGGTAACAGTGTCCTTGGAGCTCCAGCTCTCAGGAGGACCGACCATCACCACAGCGTGTGACCCAACAGAACACATGGTCACCTCCCCCACAGACAAGGGCCGTCCTGGGCTTCCTGACCACTTCCTCCCATTGCATTTCTATTTGGAGTGCCGGTTTGTTTAGAAACATGCTATAGTGCTGGTGCTAAGTCACTTCAGTCGTGTCCAACTCTTTGCGACCCTATGGACCTCAACTCCCCAGGCCCCTCTGTCCATGGGACTCTCTAGGCAGAATACTGGAGTAGGTGGCCATGCCTTTTTCCAGGGGATCTTCCCAACCCAGGGACTGGACCCATGTCTTTTATGTCTCCTGCACTGGCAGATGGGTTCTTTATGACTAGCACCACCTGAGAAGCCCTTGTTTAGAAAGGGGATAGTAAACTTGAGAAACCGGGTTTACATTTGCACACCTGCTTGAGGACTACATGGGGTGAAGGTGCCGCATCTCATGGGGGTACAATTTGCAACCTGAAATTGCTGAGGTTTTCTTCCCCTTCCATGAGACGGAAAGTTACAGCTGGGGACCAACACATGGCTACAGAGCAGTGTGTGTTAGTCTCTCAGTCGAGTCTGACTCTATGCAGCCCCATGGATGTAGCCCACCAGGCTCCTCTGTCCATGGGATTTCCCAGGCAAGAATATTGAAGTGGGTAGCCACTTCCTTCTCTAGGGGATAGGGAGCCAAGACAACCTCAAATCTGCAGGGCTCCCAAAGCAGCCAGGTAACCGCCCTCACTTCCATTATGCTAACAGAGTGATCACACTGTTCGACTCCAAACCCAGGTCATCCATCAAAGTCCACAGTAACCGGTGCTCCCATAACCCCGAGAACATCAGTACTTGACCGTGGAGTCAGGGGTCAGGTCCCTCAGGAGGCCTGCAGATAGAGTGGTCACACACACAAGCAGGATCCTGGGATAAAAAATTCTGAGATCTCTAACTGATGAAAACGAAGTGTTGGTCTGCTCAGTTGTGTCCGACTTTTTGTGGCTCCATGGATGTAGCCCGCCAGGCTCCTCTGTCCGTGGCATTCTCCAGGCAAGCATACTGGAGTGCGTAGCCATTCCCTTCTCCAGGGGATCTTCGAAACCCAGGGGTCGAACCCAAGTCTCCTACATTGGCAGGCAGATTCTTTACTGTCTGAGCCACCAGGGTAAAGCAGCAGAAGCGCCTGGCACGAAAGGAGTATTAAATAGCTCGTCTGAGCCGAGAAGCCGCAGAGCACAAGGACGGCCCTCTGCCACAGAAAGATTCCCAGGAGACCCAGGCGTCATGCCTCGATCCGCAGCCTCACACTTGAACTCGGCTGTGAATGCAGAGGCCCGGGTGCCACCCAGGCGGGTGCTGGCCCCACCTCTGTCCCCTCAAAAGGCCCACACAGCCATCACCGCCTCTGCCGGCCCGTGCCTGCTGCTTGGCTCAGAACAACCAGTGTTATAAAGAAATAAAAGCCATGACACTTTTATTTTTCTTTTTTCAAAAACCGCAGACTGTACAGAGGAAAGCACAGTGCGGCCGCGTCGTACAAGTGGGCTGCGTGCAGCTGCGGCGCTTCGTTATCCATCCCTGCTCGGCGACAGCGTAGCCTCCCAGGCAGGCTGTCTCAGGCTCCTTCCCACCGCCTTATCTCTGTCTTGCAGGCAAAGTATGAAAATGACAATTTAAGATAACATATAATGGAGCTAATCTTTCTTCCGAAGATAAGATTCTAAAACCTGGAGTCACTGCATATTTGTGGGCTGGTGAATTAAATATAAAAATAGCCAACACAATCTCAGAGGCAGAAGAAGGCTTCTAGCAACTCCCCTCCGTCGTGGGCACTTTTGAATAATGTCTGCTCCTCACACACAGCTCGTTTATTTCTCTAGGACCTAATTGAGTTTTGCTGTTTCCATACTGTATGTTTTCCGGGCTGCCTTGGATCTGACAGCTGTAAACAAGCGAGCAGAAGCCTCAGACCCGGCTTAATGAGCTCCACGCTGGCTCCCGCTGCTCGGCCCTGGCTCTCGGCACGCGTCGGTGAGGCCCTTGGGGCTGCAGGCTCTGAAATCAGGCTGGGCTGCGAGGAGTGGAAAATTTCCCAAGAAAGCGACAGAGCGTTTGGAGTCGAGAAGCCTCAATGGCTTGGCGGCGTCCTGCTTTCAGTCCTCCCACGGTCCCCTGGCGGGGGTGGGGCAGGCGGGTCACTAGGCCCACGGGGCTCATGCTGCCCTCTGCCCTGAGGCGAGCACGGGCCCGACGTCCCCTGTCCCAACAGTGGCTTGGTGAAGCCACGGGAATGTCAAGGCAGGGCCATGCCAGGACCAGAGAGGGCTTTCCTCAGCGCCTCTGCCGAGCAACTGTTGGGACACCATCTGACGTGAGGTCAAGGTGCTTGACTCTGAAGGAGAGCATCCCTGTGCTCCTCTGTCCCTCCGTCTCCCTGTCCCTCTGTCCCTCTGCTCCTCTCCCCAAGCTGTGCGTGTGGAGCTCAGGAACACTTCTCTTGTCTCTCCCCCACAATGAGGCAGTGCTATGAGCTGACTGAGCTCTCTCCTGAAGTCAGGCATCTTATGTGAGGATCATCACAGAAATGTCCCATGCACAGTACCGAAATAGAACCTGGGCAAGACCGAGACAGCGAACAATCCCAAACCCCAACCAGATATCAGGAATGCCGAACAACCGGTGCCAGGGAAGGCTCAGTGGTCGGGGACAGAGGCTCTGGATCATGGCAGGCACTCAGTGGACAAGGCTAGACTCAGTGGTCAAGGACAGACTCGCTGGTCAAGGGCAGACTCAGTGGTCAAGCTAATGAGAGCTGAATTCCTACCGAGAGCTGCTGCCTATGTGACCACTGCCCTGAGGGGGCTCACACCCCAATGGGAAGCAGAGTGGCTACCTGGGGACAACAGCCAAGCTGCTGGGGATTCTTACCCACGTTGGCCAAGGTCAAGTGCAGTTGGCCCTTCACCACTGTGCGGATGTCGATGGGCTTGACACAGCCAAACCTGGTCACATCTCCACTCACCACCATGGCGTCCTGCTCGTATTCAGTCGCCACGACCTCCAACTCGTGCGAGACCTGCACGGCCGGCCGCCCTTGGCGGAGGAGGTGCTGCAGAGGAGGAGGGATGGGTCAGAGGGCGGCTGAGGCAGAGGCCATCTGCTTCTGAAAACCCGAGTCCTCGATGTTAAAGGCTGATGTCAGGTCTTTAACAAAGTGCATCCTGGTCCACCCACTAAGCAAATATGAGCAGGCCCAGCAGCCCCGCACGGAGCCTCCTCTGCAGGGGGAAGTCGGGAAGTGCACGACAAGGGGGTCCCTGAGGAAGCCCAGTGAGAGCCCCGAGGAGTCTCCACTGGGCCTCCGTGCAGGGAAGGCAGGGGGCATGCCAGGCCTGGGTCGGGAGCGCTCCAGAGTGGCTGAAAGATGGGCAGCGGGTCTAAGGAGGGACCACAAGGCAGACGGAGCCAGGTCAGGAGGGTTTCCAGGCCAGACCGAGGCTCAGAGCCAGGCCAGGCAGACCCAGGAAGTACCAGGATATTCTGGAGCCCACTCTTCTCTGCTAATCAAGTTTAACCACTCAGTCCTCAGCCTGAGCCCAAGGGCAGTGGGGCCGGGTGGGAGGGAGGGCTGGGCCCCTCGTCCTGCATGGCCTGGGGAAGGTGACCAGGCCTCTCGACTTCATACAGCAATGGAAGCGTGGGGCCAGGTTAAGTTCCTGCTTCTGGAATTCTGGCCCTGTTCCCCCAGCACCCATCTCTGGGGTGGACACACTCAGACCAGATCCCTCCTTAGCAGGTCTGGGGGCTTCCAGCTGCATAGACCCTGCTTGCTCAGCAGTGCTTGTCCACATGATGCCAACACAGGCATGGTTCAGGAGTCTTGGTGGCCGGATGGGGTGAAGACCCCTCCAGCCCTCCAGAGGGACACTGGTTAAGGCAAGAGGTGACACCCAGCTGCCCAGGGAGCAACGATGGCAATTAAAACAGTACTGCTTCTCACCTCAGAAACTACAGAGACTTTTTTAAAAGCTAATAACCCATAAAGGGTAGGACGGTAGTAGGTCAGTCCTCCCCACCCAGTGCTCTGCACACACTGCCCCTGGCTCCTTCCACTGCCCTGGGGCCTCACCCCCTCAGGGATGGGCCCTGAGACCCAGGGGGTGGGGGCAGTTACAGCCGGAGTCAGCTGAAAGAGGGAAGAAGGGAGGGAGGAGCAGGTGGCTCTCTGAGGATGGAGAGCATAGGGTCAGAGCCACTGCAAGGGGACATGCAAGTACCAGAGCCATGAGCTCCTCAAGGGGACAGGGCACTGAGGAGCAAGGGGGGATGGGAGTGGCCCTGCAGGTCTCAGGGGCCAGCCATGCAAGGCTCAGGCAGGGTAGCCTAGGGGGCTGTGGCCAGAATCCAGAGGAAAACAGCTGTGGGGCTTCCCTGGTGGCCCAGTAGTTAAGAATCCACCTTGCAAGGTAGGACCCATGGGTTCAATCTCCGGTCCGGGAAATAAGATCCCATATGCAGTGGGACAACTAAGTCTGAGCACCACAACTACTGAGCCTGAGCACCACAACCAGACAGACCATGTGCCAAAGCGAAGGATCCCATATGCCGGAACTAAGACCTGATCCAGATGAATAAACAGATAAATAATTTTTTAAAAAAACGGGATGAAGGAAAAGTGGATGAAGGTCAGAGAGATTCCAGAGTCATAGGGATGGCTCTATATCCTCTTCCACTCCACCCCAGGGCGGAGGGTTGGGGGGCAAGCTCTCATGACGGCACATGGGCAAGTGGATATAATCCAGGGCCTGGTCTAGAGGCTGCCGTGTGACCCCATGCTGACCCTCTGGGGTCCTGGTCACACGACAGGGAAGGTTCGGGGAGAAGCCCCAGGGAAGAACATTGAATTAACGTGTAGATTTCAGTTTTAGCCTATGAGAATAGAAAGCACAGTTAGAAAAAGGATGAGATTCTGATCCTCGTGATTCATGAAACTGAGAACAGGCATCGGGAAACACTTCCCCAGCCCATCACTCACTCATCACGTCCTCCATCCTGAGGGTGCACCTCGATGGGTGGGCCCAGTCCCTGGGGAACAAGGCCGACCCCTTGCTGCTCTCAGGGAGCTGCCATGCTCACCGTCAAGGGAGCAGAGCCAACATTACCTGCTCAATTGAGGGTCTGATGACGGATGTAACCTAGCATGATCGAGTTTAGGCTCTGTAAACATCGCTTCCTTTGGGGAAGGCAAGGACTCGGCAGTGTCGGAATTTGTGAACCAAGGAGCCAGGCCGACACCCAGCACTGGGCAATGACCAACACCGCCAGGTGACAGACCTTACAGGAGAGACTGTGGGAAAAACCTACCTTCAGCTGAACGGCAGCAGATCCGACAAGAAGCAGGGAGTCCCCATCCCAGACATCGATCTGCAGGGTCTGCATGGCCAGGTAGCGGGCAAACCAGCGCTGCTCCCCAGGTCTCAGGAACCCAGGGTCCACCAGGTACTTCCGTTGAAAGCCCGGAGACCCTGTGCAAAGAGGCCCCAAACAGGCCCAACAGTAACTGGAATCATTTATCATCTTTATATACTTGGAGGACTTTCTGCTCTGAGCATGATGAAAAATTTCCATTTCTAACAGAGCCGTAACTTAATAAATATATTAATCAAAACATTATAAAATACCCAAATTAACAACAGGAAGAGTGGTGTTCAGAAGACTATATTTCTTTCCAATATATGCAATAAACTACTCCTCAAATAAGACAGATGTGTTTCACCAAGTCCTGGTGAAACAGTCTATGCTGAACAAGGACAGATGCCCTGATGGGGCCAGCCAGGGAGTATGAAACCCAATGCATAGGATTTAGGGAGAAATACCATCTACTTCTTCTGTCCAAACTGGGACATTCAGGGACTTCCCTGGTGGTCCAGTGCCTAAGATGTCACCTTCCAAAACAGGGGTTCCAGATCTGATCCCTGGTCAGGGAGCTAAGACTCCATATACCTCAGGGCCAAAAAGTCAAAACAGAAGCAATGCTGTAACAAACTCAAAACTTTAAAACATGGTCCACATCAAAATATCTTAAAAAAAAAAAAAAAAAAACTAGGACATTCACCAGAGACAGAAGATGTGATAGATAGGTAGAGAGATAGATATACAATGGAATATTACTTGGCCGTTAAAAAGAATCAAACAATGCCATTTGCAGCAACATGGATAGACCCAGAGATGATCACACTAAGCAAAATGAGTCAGAAAGACAAATATGATAGAATTTCATTCATATGCAGAATCTAAAACATGACACAAATGAACCTATCTACAAGACAGAAATAGACTCATAGACATAGAGAACAGACTTGTGATTGCCAAGGGGGAGAGGAGGTAGAGGAGGGAAGGGCTGGGAGTTTGGGGTTAGCAGATGCAAACTATTATATATAGGACAGGTAAATAACAAGGTCTTACTGTAAAACACAGGGAACTATATTCAATATCCTGTGATAAACTGTAGTGGAAAAGAATATGAAAAACAATATATATATACGTACAACTGAATAACTGTACTTCAAAAAGGTTTTTTAAAAACTGGGATAGTCACACACAGGCATGTGCAGAGCTTAAACTGAAATAGAGCTTAGCACATGGTACTGAGCCCACCCCAAGTCACCACCCAACCCCAACACACCTAGTCCCACGGGAGCCCAGGCCTCTCTGGGGTTCCCCTGGTGTCAGGCTTTTCAGTATGAGACAGGAGTTGGACTGTGACTCCAGCCTTCCCTTTCCAAAGTGGCATCGTCATTAATCCTTGATTGACAAAAATGTCACTGAAATCACCATTAGTTAAAGTGCAGGAAGAACAACATGGGGGTGAGACAGTCAATTCCTGGGCAGGTTGATAAGAAGTTCAGAGTCCCCAAGGAGAAGAGAGGGGTCTGTGGCTCTCAAGGAGGAGATAGGGGTCTGGAATTCTCAAGGAGGAAGAAAGGACAAACATCTTTTTTCTCTACATTTCTTAGTCTTAGTCACATAAAGTGTTTTTTTTCTTTAAGCCCAGAGCTGATGATTACACAACAAACAATGCAGCTTAAACTCTGTACTAAGGGCTTTCCTCATAACTCAATCGGTAAATCATCTGCCTGCAATACAGAAGACCCGGGTTCAATTCCTGGGTCAGGAAGATCCCTTGGAGAAGGAAATGGCAACCCACTCCAGTATTCTTGCCTGGAGAATCCCATGGACAGAGAGGCCTGGTGGACTACAGTCCATGGGGACCCAAGAGTTGGACACAACTTAGCAACTAAACCACCACCACCAAGGATTATATGACAACAACGGATCCTGCTTGAGTACAGTTTCTCCTTCTAGAAAACCTTCTGACTAATCCTGTTATCTTAAAATGTATATTTTGGGAGTGGGTCTGGTAAAATCTATTGTTAGTTCTAATCCTGTCATCTTAAAATGTAAATTGTGGGAGTGGGTCTAGTAAGATCTTTACAGCCTTGAGACATTCTTTTGATTTATTGCAATAACCAATTTTAAAAGTATATAGCTCCCTTCCTGAGAATAATAAGTGGGAGCACTCTCTGTCCCCCTTCTGATGTCTTGTCAGAAGCCTTCTCTGTCCCTTTTTCACTTTAATAAAACTCTGCTACACAAAAGCTCTTGGGTGATCACGTCTGGTCCCTGGTCCCGAAGCTAAATCTTCTTCCAAGATCACAAATCTGACATCGTTCACCCGTAAGCTATCAAGGGAAACATACTGAATCCAGCAGTTCTTCCCTTTCCATCAACCATATAACAGTATTTTAAAAGCGATCCATATAATCAAAGCTATGGTTTTTCCAGTAGTCATGTATGATGTGAGAGTCGGACCATAAAGTGAAGAAGGAATTCATAGGGCCTGGACTCCATCTCAGGCCTGTCCGTGCTGATCATGCTCGGCCACCTCTCCAGTGGACTCTGAACTCTCTGCTTAGTGCCTGTGGGAACGACAATGGAAGGATAAGACCCCCTCCAGACAGGGGAACCTTGAAGATCATATAAAGGTTACTCATCACCTAAGAGAAAACAGACACTAATCACACAGGCTTATCCTTATTAACTGGTTGGAATGTAACCGCAGGCTTATTGATTATTAACTGTTTGAACACATAACACGTGAATGATGGGGTTATTGTGATTGTATTTACCCTTCCTTTGTAAGCCTCAAGGGATTTGGGGTGGTAGGTTTGGACACGTACACATGGGGTATAAAAGATTTTCACAAATGCTGGTCGGGGTCCTTGGCTAAGAGGAGACTCTGCCTTGGGCCCACCGGTGTAATAAACTGCACTCCACTATCTGTATTGTCCTTCTGAGTGAGTTTGCTTCCCGGAAAGCGTGGCTATAACAAAAGAAGGCTGAGCACCAAAGAATTGATGCTTTCAAACTGTGGTGCTGGAGAGTCCCTTGGACAGCAATAAGATTAAACCAATTCAAAAGGAAATCAAACCGGAATACTCATTGGAAGGACTGTTACTGAAGCTCCAATATTTTGGCCACGTTACGCAAAGAACAGACTCACTGGAAAAGACCTTGATGCTGGGAAAGATTGAGGGCAAGAGAAGGGGGAGGCAGAGGATGAGATGGTTAGATATCACCAACTCAATGGACATGAATTTGAGCAAACTCAGTGAAGGACTAGGAAAGCTTGGCAGGCTGCAGTCCATGGAGTCGCAAAGAGTCAGACATGACTCAGCGACTGAACAACAACAAAACCTGGGGAGGAAGGCAAAAGTTTACTCAGCAGCCTGAGTTCCCGGGCCAGGCTTATCCCCTCACCCCCTACAGCTGCCTCAGCCCATGGGCACCCACATAGCGCCCCCTCCACTCTCCTCAAGGCCAGGACAGTGGGAGCAGTGAAGCAGGTCAGGACAGCACCCACCCGGCATTAAGAGGGAATAGGGGGTGGTCCTGGTGGGCCCAGGGAACACAAAGAAAAGTCCAGACACGTGGCCCTGGCTCCAGCCAGAAGCACCGCGCCCCTCCCTGACCCCGGGCAGTACTGGGCAGGACAGAGCACGGAGCAGCAGGACAGAGGCCACGGGAGGGGCTGGGAATGATGTCATATGTGGCAGGCCAGGCCCCAGTGTCCCGTCTCCAGTGACCAGAGCAACTCACCGAGCCAGTGGAGGTCAAGGACCCTGCTGCCCTGCCCCAGCCCCACCAGCCAGCTCCAAGAGCTAAGCAACCTGGGCATCTGCTCAGTCTCACGACACCCACCCTGAGGCTGCTCATCCAGGTGCCCTGGGGACTGGAAAGAGGACCAGGCAACGTGGAAGGTCAAGTTCACAGCACCGGGTAGCACCCACCTGCTGGGCCCCCTGGGCTGCAGAGAAGGAGTATCGGAAGCACTGACCCCTACACTGGTCAGACTGCTAGCTCCAGGACACGAATTGTGTGGGCTGACCTCCCAAATGACACCACAGACACCCTTCCTGGGGGGTCCTCCACACTTACCTCCAACACCCCCAGCCCCACTGACCCTTTACCCAGACTTGCACTTGTGCCTGAATGCAGCCCATCCCAGCTGGACCCTGCATCTTCTTCCTCAGCCAGATCCTCCTTGTGTCAACCCAAGCTGCCACCAGGCACCATATCCTCTCGACACCCCTGCTGGGCTCCATCATCACCACATCCCTTTGGCAGGCAGGTCCTCTCAATACAAGCATGAATTCACATGCAGTACATGCCCCAAGCCCCGTGTGTGGTCATGTTGGGGGACAGGATGGACAGGCCCCTGCTTGATGGGGCTCATGGTCTCAGGGGACACACCAAGCCCAGAGCTGACAGTGTGCTGAGCATCACACACGGGAGCCATCCTTGTCTGGGGGCAGCCCAAGGCCCCTTGTGCTGGACCCTCCCCACTCCTCCCCACTGTAGGCTTGGACCCCTTCACTCCTGTCTAGTTCAGACAACTGGCTCCTTGGTGGCCTTCCCTGAGGCCCAAGCTCCCCGCAGTCCATCCCATCGCAGTGCCAAAGCACCCATTAAAGAATCCTGCATCATCTCCATCCCACTCAAAAGTCTGCAGGGAAGCTGACCACTGACTCCCAGGGGCAGTGGCACTTCAGGCTCCCCGGCTTAGCTCCCTTACCCTGCCACAAACACCATGCCCCAGCCCAGGTGGGATCCCTGCTGCACCTTCAAGACTTTATATCCCAAGAACCAAAGAATTACAGTAAATGAATTAAGCAACAAATAACAATAGAGAACACCTCCAAAACAGTAGAAGGAAGGTAATATAAAGATAAAAGCAAAATTTAATTCATTAGAAAATAAGAAAAGAGAAAAACCTGTTTGAGGTACAGTTGCATGTCTTCAGAAGACAGGGAAGCCAAAATAAGAGATTGGAAAGACATCCCCATTCCTGGGGAAGGTCAGCTCCCACCCTGTGAGTGCAGTTATCCCCACTGTTCATCTGTGAACGCTCCAGAACTCCAGTGAGGAGTTTAACAAGGAGTCTAACAAGTTTATATGGGAAACC